CTTAAGAGGATTTTTAGTATTTGCCAGAAAGCAATGACCCTGACTTGGCCTTCTAGTCAAAATTTTGCATATAAATCACCCCACCCCATCCTTGCCTCCTATCATATCTAACCAAATATCAAATAGATAAGAGTTTGATTGAGATTCAATGTTGTTCTTCTTCAGAGGCCCCTGGTTCCTGTGGAAAAAACCTCATTCAGGGGAAGGAAGTAGAACTGGTGATGGGTATCACAACAATAACAAAGAGATATGTATGCTAAAATGCCAAAAGGTTTCTCAGAGGAGCTGCCATAGGTTTTAATGGAATGACAATTACAAGATAGATGGATCATTTAATGCCTGGTGTGACCTTTGCAATAGTAGAGATCATTATTTCAATGTTAATTTGCATAATAGATGGCCTAGAAAGAACATTGCTGAATGGTAATAGCTGCAGGATGCAATAAAATGAAACATTATCTGGGCTGAACTGTTAAAAGAAAAGTTGCCAAAATATGACTCTTTATGCACTTAATTTCATCCTGGGTCATATCCAATTATAATCAAATGTTGATTTCCAGTATCTCTTGAAAAACTGGCAAAAAAATGACTGGGATGGAACAGCAACAACATCCTTTATATAAAATCCTTAAGTGGTAAATCCAAAATGTCAAACCCACTGCCATTGAGCCAATATAGGGCAAAGTAGAACTGGGTTTGTACATGTTGCAAACCCTTGGGAAAAGATTTCCAAGGCTGTAAATCTTTGCTGAAGCAGAATGCCACATCTTTGTCTCAAAGAGTGGCAGGTGGGTTCAAACAGCCAACTTTTTGGTTAGCAGTTGAATGCTTTAACCACTGCATCACCAGAGCTTCTCCTTACCTGCTAGGCTTCACTTTTATATAACTTGCCTGAGCCTCTGAGGTACTTGAATTTGCAAACACCATTACCCCTACCCTAATCTCAACTCCCACCCCCCATCTGCTGATAAATACACCGAATCTGATGAATTCAGAAAGAATGAATCTCATCCTTTTGGTTGAAGTATTATTTTCAAAGCAAACAGCCACTATCACCACAAAGTGACAATATTCCGAGTGGCAGGTGGAGGGTGGCTATAAGCAAAGAATAAAAAAGACAGTAGTAGATGATCTTCTTTAGATTTGTGATTTTTAACTACTGCTATTGCCTGGAATTGGAAAACTGGTAGGTATGGTCATCCTGTATATCTTAGCAAGTCTGTTTTTGAGGAGAATTCATTGATTCACTCATTCATTGACGTCTTTCACCCAAGCGTTCTGACTCATCTTCACCACAAGAGGGCAGCCATCTCTAAAAAACAAACAGTCTTTCTGGGAAGAAACAGGGCCAAAATTTAGGAAGCTGTGCCTTAGAAAGGCGTTCAGCAGCCACTCATCATAAAAGAGATCCTGTGGGGGGCAACACTAAAACGAAATAGATGGCTCGGAGGTGCCAATTTTCCCTCAGATTCTTGACTATAGAAGATTATTATGTAAACAGACAAGGTTCCCGTTTCCCATGCTACAAAGGCCTAGAGCTGCAAGACATCCTCCATGTCATCACCAGAGATTTATTTTTCTTTTTTTTCTTGGGGTGCTTCCAACAGCTATCAACTTTCCCCTGCTCTTTAAAAACTACCTACTGATTTAAGTCTCATATAGGTTTTGTTTTTAAAATCTCACTGATGACAGGAACAATTGTTAACTTCTCAATTAAGCTGGATAGGGAAGGAAATTGTTTCAGAAACACAATAAACACTTTTTGACTTAAGTGCTATGAGTAGAATATAATTTATTGCCTACTTGTTTGGTGTCGTATGATTCAGGCTGACAGTCAACTTCTCTAGTTCTTTACTTTCAAATAGCATGTTCCTGAATATTTTGCACTCCTTTCTTTTTTTTTTTTTTTTTTTCTAGTAAGTTAACTTCCTCCAAAATACCTTACTTGACCTTTATACCTTCAGAAACAGTGAGTGCCTAATTCCTCTTCTGTGGGTAGCTAATCCGATTTATGTGAGCAGAATCTAGAGTTATTTTAGCTTCCTAACCGAAAAAATAATACACACATGGATGACAGATTATTCTTAGATCCTGTATCTGACTTTTCTCCAGATGTTCCGCTGGAAGACATGAAGACTACCTTGCAATCTAACTTTGAGGATGAGGCCTTTTCCAGTATTTTCTGACCACGGGTTTCGGGCATCATTTGGGCAACTCTTGGTGCCAAAAGGGGCTCCTGGAATCCTGATAAGAACCAAAAGCCTCGGCCCCCGATTCATGTGGCAGCAGTTTTGGGGAATATTTGAGCTGAAGAGAGCAAGTGAATCGAACACAAGTCACAGCCCTGCTGTTGGGTGCAGGGAGGAAGGGGTGGGGCAGAAGGTTTTACTGTCCCAAATTGGATTTGCTGTGTATGCCTGGGTCATGGTGTACATTTTTCCGCTGTCCTCTCAGCTGCTCATTGCTGGCCCCTGATCTGGGTGAGATAAATATCATGGCACGAAATGATTGCTACCATATATAAAAAGAGAGAAAATCTTCCTCATCTATTCTTCAAGTCTCCACACACACAGCCCACCTTGCACATGTCATATATCCATTTCACATATAACAGTTTATGGTTGATATTCATTTCACGTATTAACCAAAAAGAAAAAAAGAACATTGCCATAAAGTCGATTCAGACTCATAGTGACCTTATAGCAACCCCCATTGGGTTTCCAAGGCAGTAAATCTTTATGGAAGTAGACTGCCCAGTCTTGCTTGTGCAGAGTGGATGATGAGTTTGAATCACCCACCTTCGGTTTAGCAGTCAAATGGCTTAGGCACTATACTACCAGAGCCCCTGTATATTTCACATACATTGGCACAGAAATGCAGGTCTTCCTTTGAACATTTACTTATAAGAATATATATAAGAGTGATAGTGTAGTCTAAGCCTTGAGTCCCAACCCATCAGTTGCCTCTAGGAATAACAATTAGGCAGTCTGTTTGCATAAAGATTTACGGAGTTCAAAACCCTATGGGCAGTTCTACTCTGTCCTGTAGGGTCACTATGAGTCAGAATCCACAGAATGGCAGTGGGCTTGGTTTCGGTTTTTAAGTACTTGGGCATATATTTATATATCTGGTGGCACAGTGCCTAAAGCATTTTGACTGCTGAGCAGAAGGCTGGTGGTTCAAACCCACCAGCCACTCCTCGGAAGTAAGATTGGGCAATCTACTTCTGTGGTGATATTGTTGTTGTTATGTGCCATCGAGTGGCACCCAACTCATAACGACCCCTCCTTGGGTTTCCGAGGTGGTATCACTACAAGTAGATTGCCCAACCTTCCCTCCGAGGAGTGGCTGGTGGGTTTGAACCTGAACCGCCTGCCTTCTGGTTAGCAGTCAAGTGCCTTAGGCACTATGCTGCCTCAGAAACCCAAGGAGGGGTTGCTATGAGGGGTTAATGGCAGTAGGTTTGGATTTTTATATATAAATAGGAGCACATCTATACAAAAGGAGCTCTGGTGGCTCAGTGCCAAAGGCGTTCGACTACTCACAAGAAGATCGGCGGTTCAAACACACCAGCCGCTCGGAGGAAGGAAGACTGCTGCTTCTGTAGAGATTTACCCCCTTGAAAATCCAAAGAGGGTCGCTATGAGTCGGAATCCACTCGATGGCAATGAGTTTGGTTTGGTTTTTACCTCTATACAAATATAAACGTCCACATACGTGTCTATGAATGTAATTGCATAAGCATATATATACATATGTGTATACATATAAATTTATATGTATGTATGCATGTATGTGTATATATATATATACACATATACCAAAAACCAAACTCACTACCGTGGAGTTGAATCTGACTCATAGAGACCCTTCCTTGGATTTCTGAGGCGGTATCCCTAAGAAAGTAAATTCCCCAACCTTCCTTCTGAGAAGTGGCTGGTGGGTTTGAA